CACATATAAACAAGAAAAACACTGAATTTCATATTGAGGATTGCATATAATGAAATACCGATGAAATTACATGGTTTGGAAATCTTTTATATACAGTCATATTAATAAACTGTCTTAACAAAATAAGAGGGATGAGTACCAATCAGGCCGAACAATATTTATAAAGAAGCCTAGGCTGCATTCTACTCAGAGTGCCAGGAAAAAGTAACTTTGAATCATGTCCAATAAGTAAAAATCATGACTTCTGGTCTGTAGAGAAGCAGCACATATCCAGAACATCACTGTCAAGCATTTGCTATATGCAGAGTTTTAGTAAAAGAAACCAGCATCAACAGTTGTAGCTGATTGGGTCACCAAGGTTCAATAAAAAATCAGCTGAAACAAATGTTCTTTAAAAGCATCACATCCTCAAAGCTTCAGTTATTACCATGATAACATCATCTAAAATAACTTCATGAGCCATATGTACTAAGCAAACTGAAATGGATGCAAAATACAATGATTATACTGTAAATGATGTCTAATGCTTTATATTCTATATCATTCCAGCTTTACCAGTGCTTGCTGACACCTGATTGCATGCAACAAGCTTCCTTGCTATACCAAAAAGAGATACAGAACATAAGTAAAGTGTGTGGAAGAGTGGAAGTTTTGGAGAGATCAGCACTAGGTCTTTTTTCAAGTATGCAAGCAAAGATTTCCAGTACTGGTTTTTAAAATAACCTAGTAGTATTAAATATTATATGTAACACATGCATGCATCTCTTCTACATGCAGAATGATTATCTTTAAATTCAGATGACTATCCTTAGTAGGTATGAGGATGAGGAGTTTATGAAGTGGATGCTCCAGGTAACAACAAACAATCTGCAGTTTTCTGCCTTAGTTTTATTCAGTGATAAAGCCTTTATTTGACTGGAAAAGTACTTTTAGCACTCACAAAAAATTACATCTGGACTAAAATCAACCCCATTGTTACTGTCTTTAATAAACACAAGCAGAAATCTACTGAAAACATCTTGGCAAGTATTTTTGGTAATTTCCTGGTGGATGTCACAAGAATGTCTGACCAGCACAGCATACTGTGTCTTCTTGCAGCATGTGCCTTTTAGTCTGCCCTGCTCATCATGCAGAGGGGCATATGGTTTATGCATAATGGCACCCCCAGCATACTTCACCATCATAGTTCTGGGGGCAGATGACATCATTAGTGTACGAGACACCCATGGACTCTGAGAGCGATCTTGTTGCAAGAATCATTGCAGCAGGCAAAACCTGATACCAAGCGTCTATAAAAGCATGTGCCAGTCTTCCACTTATTGGTGTAAATTGTGCAACGGTATCCTTGCATGCCACTTTTGAGTCTTTTTCTGATCTGAATGGGACTGTGCAACTTATGATTTTAATAACTCTCTTTTTTTTTAATTATTGAAAGTTCAACTTAAATATTTAACAGTAGGCTATTCTGACATTCAAAAGTTGAATATGATCCTAGATTCCATTGCAAATACTGTTGGATACTATCATCCTGTTATTTTGCTGAAACAGTTTATAAACGTTCTGCATTTCAAAAGGGCAAATACCATTATTTGAGAGCTTTAACAAAAAGATCTGAAAACAATTCCTCTTAAATTTTTGCTTGGAAATCTTATTATATGTCTACAAAACTAGCATACAAATTTACAGCTTTCAAGAATATTTCATCGCATTCATATTTTGAATGTTAACCTTTTTAGGTGACACATATGACTACAAATCTTATAAACTTACATTTAAAAAAAAAAAAAAAAAAAATCTTTTGCAAAGTTCTGTCCTTTTTTTTTTTAGCATGGAATAATGGCAGTAATAATTGATTATATTTCACAATAAAATACATTAAGTAACAAATAGCTTCTCAAAAGTTTTTAAAGTATATTACAGTGTACAACAAATTCAATTTATGAATAATCTGAGCTAAATTTCTTCATTACATGGATTTAGAGTTTACTATATGAATAAAATAACAAACATAAATAAATACATTTGGCATCAATAATAAACAATTAAATAGTAACTTACACATTTGGCAATATATATTTCTATATTATACAATGTTATAATCACATACAGTGATATTAATGTGTGATATTTAGTCAAAATTAATGGAAGAGTATCTAGTACAAGGTTAGGAATTACTATTTACAATCACAGAATCAGAAATTGTAATGGTTATCTCACACTACCCTTTAAGACATACATATTTTTTTTATTTTTTACACAGTAAACCTTTAAACATTAAAACTTTAACTGCATTTTAATTTAAAGGGGGAAAAAGTGAAAAATTAAACGGTAAATACATTTTAAAAAATTAAAAAATGGTAAATATATTTCAGCTATGTATACACAAAGTGAAGTTTTGAAAGTACATGTTATTTCTTACAATTTAACGATCAACACTGTAAGCCACCCAAATAAATTATATTTTGAGATAAATTCATCTAGATAAAAAACATTTATAACACCATAGGAAATGATTCTGATGACAAATAATTTCTAAAGAATTTTACAAGGAAGTAATTCCCACACTATTTTTTTTTTTTTTTCTTTTTTGCATCATCTTTGAAAATGATTGGAGCATGACTAACAATCTCAGTTTTAAACTTTACAAAACATAACAATGAGCATTTCATCATCTCAACAAATGGAAGAAATTAGAGTATAATACTAATTAGAGGAAGTTAACATTTTGGGGAAAGTGCGGAATCACCCACTGCTTGGCGCGTTTTTAAGAATTGCACATACTCGGTGTCCATGTATATATCGACCTATTTTCACTTTAAAAAAATCCCAGAATTCCACAAAACACTCCCTTGAATTTATCCATGTACACATCGACCTATTTTCACTTAAAAAGGTCAAAATTGACAAAAATCCAATTCTTCTTACTGTTGTAAAAAGCACCAAACAAATAAGTGGGCAATTCTGCACTTTACCCAACTTTTTTATAATCGATCCACTCTAATGTTAAAAAAGATATAAAAAACTTGACAATGCATACATATTGTTAAATCTCCCTGTCTTGGGAAGGAAAACGTAAACATAATAAAGAAGTTTTGTATTATCTACAATTAAAACTACCATATTTACTTGCTAGCTTTCTAGAATAAGGTTCTGAAAATTTTTAAAGTATTCATGAAATTTTCCACTTCTTCAAGACATTCTGAAAATGAACTCTGTAATCTGTATTTGTCTGTATAGTTTCCATCTTACTAATTGATTTGCTCATGGAATTTGAGTGCAAGGGTTTTGATTGATGAAGCAATAACAATGAACTTCAATAAAATGGAAATATCTAATGTTCTTTTAATGGTTCTGAAGATTATCTGAAGTAGGAAGACAGACAGAAAGGCGATCACTTGCAAGCTGTCGTTGATGAAACAGATAGCACTTCTAGTATGATTAAAACAATTTGAGGCAACAGTAGACAATAATGAGAACAGGCAAGATTCAAGTTACAGGAAAGTAAAAATGAAGATAGCTTATTAGATACTACAATGGTAATATTAGTATATATTCTTATTAAAATGTAGGTTTCTTTTAAATAAATAGCAATATGACAGTTATTGGTAGTTTATTTATGAATAGTTTTCATTTGTTTTGTTCTCACTGTAACTGTGTCTTAATGAAATTAAATTATTCACAAAATTTTCCCCTCCTTATTTTTGGATGATAAATTAAGTAAAATGTGAGTAAATATGGTATATTAATTCATAATTATTAACAATTTCTGAAAACAATTTACAAAATAAACTTGCATTCAGTACCCATAGCCAAATTTATATGATCATGCAAGTCACAATGACCAGAGGACCCCGCCCCCAATTATTAACTAATTTTAAAATTTAGTAAAAATATTCTCTTCTTAGGATGATAGTTCAAGTGAGATGAGCACTCTACATTAAGATTTGCCACTATCAGTAACAGTGAAACTAAAAATATTAAAGTTGAATAGCATATATTTATATTATTATTCATACACGTTTTAATTTTGCTGAAATAAATTCTCATTTATAGAAAACACATTTCAAAATCCTAAGATAATAAATTAGCATCTCTAAACTACAAAAATTTTTTAAAAAAATTGCAGAAGCTAAAAGAACTTTATATCATGTAATTTTACTCATTACATTTTAAAGAAAAGAACAGCAAAACAAATAACAAGGCCATAAAAGCTGTGAAATTTTGTGTTCGATTTCAGCTGTATATAATTACATGAAAATATATTAATTAGATAAATTTGACACAGTTGCTGTAGCTGTTAATTGTGTCAGAATTAACATGCAAATTATTAAGTACATAAAATTATCTCATGCATTTAACCCTCTCAGCTGTGCAGAAATTTAGATCTGTCATGAAGACCTGTATTTAAACAGTATCTATCAGCTAAATTTGTATAATTACTAATTTTAGTCTCTATTCTCATAAACTTACATTCATCAAGATGATATTTACATTATTAAAAAAATGTAAGAAAGTAAAATATTTTAAATTATAAGTTAATATGTGCCAAGTGACAAAAAAATCTGATGACCAGATAAAGCCGAATTATAGCGCTTAGCGAGTTATTGGCATTTATTCAATAATTCCTATTTTGCATAAATTTATAGTCTGGGGGGGGGAACTGCATCTAAAAGTTTTAGATGAAAAATCAGCTAATCTTTGGAATATGGTAACAGGTAGTTTGGTGACATTTTGGTAAGGCGATAAAGGTTACTAGCTAGGACTTTAGCAGTGTACATGGATAAAGTCAAGAGAGTGCGCAATGCCATTTTTGTGCAATTCTGGGATTTTTTTTAAGTGAAAATAGGTCGACGTGTACATGTGCAATTCTTAAAAATGCGGCACGCAGTTTGCGATTCTGCACATTTTACCAATTTCGCACCTAATCTTCTTCATTATTAAGCACTTTTGTTCCATAAAAGTTCTAGCATAATTCGGCTAGCAGATTGTTGGGGAAAAAAAAAAGAAAAGCCTTTACTTCGTGAAAACAAAATGGCATCCAAACAAAAACTAGCAGGTTGCTGTAGCAGGGTTAGTCGCCAAAAAATCACCAAGTTACCATAATCCAAAGATTAGCTGAAAAATCTATTAAAGTGACAGTTAACAGTAGCAGAGAAATACAACAAAACAGTTAATAATAGTTCATTTGTACTTTGCAGAACAGGTGACATAAGCATAGTAGTTCTTAAATTAATATACAACTTGGAACTAAGCTACTGCATGCTAAATTTCATATATTATAACAAAACATACCACAGATGTTCATTATCATATTAAGGAAACATTCTGAGACAATAAGGACATAAGAAAATTTTCTACTTGATTGATTTTCTACGATTCTGGTAAGTAAGTGACGTCTGAAGACGTGAATTTTTTCTCTTAAAATGTTCATTAAAATCTAAACGAAAGCTCAGAAATCGAAGGTTAGGGTCATCTTGATCATTTAACATAATCAGAAATTTTTGTACCATATCTTCATAAGAATGGGACAAAATTTTAAGTTCAGCTTTTGTAGTAGGAATATGCTTACTCTTCAAAACTGCTATAAGTTCATTATATTCTTTCTTTTGTTTTGCAGATATACTCCATGTCTCTGAATTAATATTAGAGTTGTTAAGCTCATCTTGATCATTTAATTTCTCTACAACTTCTTTTATATGATTCCAAAATAAGCTTTGGATTTTGTCAAAATCTATAATTAAATCATAAATAGCCTTCAACTGCGTGCGAAGAATTAAAGATTCTTCATCCAGCAATGCTCTTGTTAATAAAGTATCTAAGAAATTTTCATGTGCTGCAATGACCTGGTCCAAATCTTGTGCAGAAGATATTTTTAATAATAAATCAGCCCAGCAACATTCCATAACTTCAAATGCCATATAGTACTCCATTTGCTGCACAAAATGTACCATTTGAGCTAAAGTAATGTGGCACTGATGCAGAACAGGAGTGACTTCTGGAATTCTTGTTTGCCATTTCAGATAAGTTGCTCGAGACTGAGAGATTTTATTCAATATGAATTCCATCCGTTTAGCCCTCCATAAAGCAGTGAAAAGTCTCACGTAAGAATTCATGCAATGAGGTGTAAAAACTGTTCCAATAGGACCTCCAGCATGATAATCCAATGTAAATACATCCCACCCCGTATCCCCTATTACAGATATATCTAATAATCTAACATCTAACCTTTGCAATACTTCTGGGTTATGAAATTGGGCATTAGTGGCCCTTATTGCACTTTCTAACACTCCAGTGATGTTATGAATGTATACATTTTTCACGGGTTTAGCTAAATCAGCATCTAAGAGATCCATCAAATGTCTGATGAAATCACCCTGACCTAATAGGAAATAATTCCTCATAGCCAATAAATGGTCCATTAAATTATATTTCTCATGCAAAACTTGCAAGACTATTTTGCTAGTTCTAACATAATTTTTTTCTAATATGCTTTCAAAATTTGCTCCTTTTTCATGAGAAAATAAAGATTCAGTGCTCATTAGTTCAAGTGCTTTGATGCGTCTTTGTTCATCTCGTACAAAAGTGTTGTCTTGGCACACCTGTCTTAGAAAGTTTATTGCTTTACCTGTTGAAAGAATTTTCCTTGCTTGCTCCATAGTTATGAATGATGGAATCATAGATTTATTCAAGCAGTATTTTTCTTGCCATAGGCACACATCTGAAATTCCAATATTAGTAGCAACTAAGAATTCTCCAAAAGGATCTTCTAACTCACCACAAAATATCCAACTACTCAACATTTTAAAAAGTGGCTGAGTAGCAACTTGCAGCAAATATTGGATAAGTTCTCTGACATAATAGTCTCCATGTTGCAAATGTGAATATAAAATAGATGCAAGAGCACCTCCTTTTTTACCTCTACAGGCATCTACAACAGAAGCAAGCATTTTCAACTGCATATGAGGTTCAAAAAGCCATACGGATAATTTATGTAAAGTTAAAGAATTTGAATTGGTATTTAAATGTTCTAAGCTGATTTCTTGAAGTAAAAATGCTTCCAATTCAGCAATTAATTTATAATAATCAATTAGTTTTGATTTTAGAGCAGCAACAAAACTCTGTGCAATAAGTCCATGTGACTTTTCCCAACTTTCTGATGTACAATACTCATTAATACGATAATACATCCAACCCAATTCCACAAACCGCAGTGTTAATCTTTTTATTGGGTTTGGAAAATCATCTTTAAATGATACACTGAAATTATTTTTTTCAGGTTCCCAAAATAATAAATCTCCTCTAAGACCTTGAATTACATACAATATATCACGCAAAACAGGTCTTAGGTTTCTTGCTAGTGAGTTGCCAGCATGATGCGAATTACATTCATCAGTTGCTTTAGTATTATTTAAATATTCTTGTTTTAAACTGGATGGAAGAATGTAATGTTTTTCTGTGCTAGTAGCAAACATAGCAGCCACTTGAGAAACCCTTGTTGGAATAGATTCTAAATTATCTTGATAAATATTCGGTTTATTCATATATTTAAGAAATCGCATATCTGTTATGGGATCTTTGTTCGGATTTTTTAGAAACTGTCCTGTTAAATCAGCAGTATTTGAACAGGATTTGTTTATTTGTCTATTAATGATATCATGTACTTTTAATGATGGATCTGAATTCAAAGTTCCTAATTTTGGGCAACTAGCAACACACTGGCCCATGTCTAACTTTTCGCTACCAAATCCATATAAGCAATACAACAAATGTAATACACTTGCTTTATTTTTTAATACTGAGGTACTTTGGAGTTTACGGTATAGTTCAACAAATGTTAAGGCATCTTTAACTCTTTCATCCATCATGAACTTCTTTTTTATTTTTTCGCATATTGAAAACTCGTCGCTATCGAAGTTGATGAAAGAACAGTTCAGTACTTGAAGAGCATTACGATATTCTAATTTAACTAAGTCAGCAGGCTTTCTAGTGATATGACATACTAATTTCTGCACTAAAGAAGCTGACGTATGATTTGTATGTGTTTGAGAATTCATAGTGAAAGACTTTTAATTTCCAGTACGTAACCACCAATATAAAAAACGGGGTAAATGGACAAATACACGAATATTATTTACAATTTCAAACAAAAACAAAGAAAGAGAAATTTCTTGAAAACAGTCATAGATACATTTGCTGAAACCCCATAGCGGCGTATTCTGGAATATTATTAGTGCATATGCTAGATGCTTCAAATCTGATACAGTTTAATATAAAATTTAAACGTCTGCTACATTTTTATTTTGGAAGGTACAGTTACAGTGCTTTCTACAATAATAGAACTATTTTTTTTTCTCTCACAATAATTCAAATACTCTCAGAATTAGAATTTTCCCTTATGCAACTTTCATATTTTATTTTTCACAGAAAAGATTATTTCAAGGCAAGACATGCATTAATCTAGTGTTCATCATAATTAACAGCGAAAGAAAAGTGCTTTGCTTTTATTGGAATGGCATCAGTTAGTTTAATAGCAGTACCGGTTTCATATAAGCAGACGACTGTGGAATGTTGTAAGGTGAGCTGTAATCCTTGAAATTAAAAGCTGACTGGTTTGTTGAAACCTCTTTTTCCAAAATTAAGGACATATTCTCCATAACTTGTTTAAGAATTTAATACTTATTTTTCTTGACGGTAAAAAACTTCATTTGCTGATATTCTAAAAATTTATTAATTTGTACGATTATGAATCCTGGTGACAGCGCAAATAACGTAAGTATTCAATAACAGAAAACATGCAAACTAATTTGTTTCATACTATAATTAAATTTTTATAAAGCATATTTTCAAATGCTTTCAGGTATTATGATATATTTCTTCCTATTTATCTCAAACGAAAGTAGTTTTTTAAATATAAAATAAATTATCTCTGTTTATGTATGTTCTGCTTTTCAGCTTACTGAAGATGATGAATTTTTGTATTCTGCGGAAATACTTTTCAAGTTGGATTTCAAGAACAGCCATGTTCATTTTAATCCTCCAATATCAATATCTAACCCTGGAGAAAATCTAATTGTTAGACCTTTGTGCTTAAGTGATTATCACAAAGGTGAGTTTATTCTTAGTTATCTTGCCATATGTGACTTGTTTATTCCATTCTAAAAATGCTGTTTGAAATTTCATTTTTTTTTAAAGAAAAGCATAAATGTTTTCGGCTTAACTGAAAAAAATATTAAGTTCAAATAATTATTCAAATACTTTTAAAAATAAATATGATTACATGTAGTAACATTTAAGTAGATTAATGTACTGTTTTGAGTTGTTCAGGAATAAAGGATTTGTTTATTTTGCTGATTAAACATCTGATATGTGGGTGAAGTTGACATCTTATATTTCCCATTATTAACTTCAAACTTCAAAATTGCTTTGATTTTGGAGCTTGAAATTTGAGTTATGTTTTCTAGAGCTAGAAGCTACATTTTTAAAGCTTTTCAAGAGCTGGAAGTTATGTTTTCCAGAAGGAATTGATGAATCGGCTAATCTTTGGAATATGGTAACAGGTAGTTTGGCGACATTTTGGTAAGGCGATAAAGGTTACTAGCTATGACTTTAGCAATAATCTGAGAAGTTCGAATCACAGATTATTTTGTCTCGGAGAAATGAGAGATCATGAGACATGTAATGCTACATTTTCTGGAAAATTCCGATCGTGATTTTAACTAATAAGCACTTGGAAGGAATTTCGCTGCTAAAATGCAGAATCGCCCACTTATTTGTTTGCGCTTTTTACGAGAGTAAGAAGAATTGGATTTTTGTCAATTTTCTTTGACTTTTTAAGTGAAAATAAGTCGATGTGTACATGGATAAAGTCAAGAATGGGACCGTGTATGTGCAATTCTTAAAAACGCGGCAAGCAGTGGGCGATTCTGCACTTTCTCTCAATTTCGCACCTAATCTTCGTCATGATTAAGCACATTTGTCCCATAAAAGTTCTAGCATAAGCGTAATTCGGCTAGCAGATTGTTGTAAAAAATGTTGAGTAAAGGAAAAAAAAAATGCCTTTACTTCGTGAAAACAAAATGGCGTCCATAAAAAAAACTAGTTGGTCGCCAAAACATCGCCAAGTTACCATAATCCGAAGATTCACCGATGAATTTTTACTTAAATATATGGCAAATTTAAGTTACATCTTAATGAACTTGATAAGTTACATCTTGATGAACTTTTTTTACTTGATATGTCATCAAGTAAAAAAAAAACTCATTAAATTTTACTTTCAGCTAGCATGTTAAATATATAAGAAGTTCTATGGTGACATTCCTTTGTGAAACAAAACATAAGAAGGGTGAAATCTCCCAGTTACTATAGGAATTTTTCATGGAACCCTGGTGAAAACATTGATTATTTTTCTATTTACAGTTTATTTTCAACCAACACTAAGATTTAAATTTAGTCAAAAATCAACCTTAGGCTGGCATAGATTTTGAAAATGATAATAAAAATTTTGTAATTAACTGCTGATTTGCCTAGCTTTAAATTAAATACTGGCATATTTTTCTTCCAGTCTAATCAAGACTAAAATGCTTTCAAATGAAATAATCTTGCAGGATGTTAAAAATACTGCGTAGCTGCTATGAGATCCATCCTAGTATATTACTGAATCTTCTGGCTCTTAACTTTTAACCCTTATTGAGGTAAATGTTTTCCAACAATAAATGAAATTTATAAAATTATTTAAATTTAAATTTTGTCAGGTTGATCTTTACATTATGGTAACTTGGCGTTTTTTGGCGAAAATTTGGCGACCAACTCTCCTACAGCAACCCTCTATTTTTTTTTCCCGTCGCCATTTTGTCTTCACGAAGTAAAGACATGTTTCTTTTCTTTTTATCTACTGAACACTTCTTCCAACAATCTACTAGCCGAATTACACTTATGCTAGAAATTTTATCTAACAATAATCATGACATCATGACAAATATTCACTGCAAAATTGGGAAAAAGTGCACAATACCATACTCCTTACGCGTTTTTCAAAATAACACATACACATAAACCATGTACACGCCGACTTATTTTTACTTAAAAAAACATCCCAGAATTGCACAAAAATGGCATTGCGCACACTCTTCACTATATCCATGTACACTGCTTTTTTCTCATTAATTAGAAAAATTTTTACGAAAATACATGACAATTTTCTGAATCTTTAAACCCGGTAAAAAGAACATATATGAAATTACCTGATCGCGAAAAAGTATTTACCCTTTCCAAATATGAACATTTCCACATATAAAATAAATAAAATATCCAAAAACTTTTACCTCTAAATCATCTATTACATTATAAACGTCACCAACGAATTCATACCGCAAACTTTACAAATACTTAGTGTCAAATATTTAAATTATTTCCATGCACGTTTACTTCAACTTAAACGTATACCAAAGTCCTACAAACATAAAATTCACAAAATAACTATCATTTAATTAAAATATCACTAAACCATGTACACGCCGACTTATTTTTACTTAAAAAAACATCCCAGAATTGCACAAAAATGGCATTGCGCACACTCTTCACTATATCCATGTATACTGCTTTTTTCTCATAAATTAGAAAAATTTCACGAAAATACATGACAATTTTCTCAATCTTTAAACCCGGTAACAAGAACATATATGAAATTACCTGATCGCGAAAAAGTAATGAACATTTCCACATATAAAATAAATAAAATATCCAAAAACTTTTGCCTCTAAATCATCTATTACATTATACACGTCACCAATGAATTCATACCGGAACCATTACAAATACTTATTGTCAGATATTTAAATTATTTCCATGCACGTTTACTTCAACTAAAACGTATACCGAATTCCTACAAACATAAATTCACAAAATAACTATCATTTAATTAAAATATAATTAAATTCAAAAACACTACTTAAAATATAAATGAGCACATACATTAAATTAATACATACATAAATACCCATTTCGAATTCACTTTAGTTACGGCCATGGGATCCAAAAATTCACGAACACTGTTTCACACAACACAGAATAAAGCAACATACAAAATTTCCAGATTTTTTCCCGATTTCCCCCCTTTTCCGATTAAGGAACCGTAATTCGTCCATTAATATCACATGACATATCCCATGATCTCTCATTTCCCTCACACAAAATAATGCGTAATCGGAACTGAGTACTGCTCACATTATTATCAAAGTGCCAGGTAGTAAACTTTATCGCCTCCAAAATGTCGCCAAACTACCAGTTACCATATTGTAAAGATCAACCTTTTGTCAATTCCATTCTGCTATTTCCAATGATTTTCAGCATAATATGATCTGAATTATCTTAACCTAATACAGACATTGGTAAAACTTTGTGTGAATTATTGTTTAACCCTTTGATGGGCGCAATATTATTTTTATAATTTTTTTAACTAAAAACTCTAGAAATTGAATATCATGATCCTAGAGACAAATAATATATGAATTAAAAAAAATCTACTCTTGCCCATTGTTCTGTGGGTGGTGATCGCACTGTGAAACCACCGCGCGTCCAGGCCTTTGAAACTTACTGATGTAGTAGGGAAAAAAAACTTACCATTTTCCGCGCGTGTTTCCAATAAATGACGAAATTTACGGATTTAAAAAAAAAAATAGAAATTGTCAGAAAAAATTACAAAATAAACATTTATGTAATTTTTTCTATAGCAGTGAAAATATAAGTACCTATATAATAAGGACATTTGGATAAATGGATGAAAAAACTCAATAAAATAAGGATAAAAAAGAACTCGGTGGTTTTTTTTTTTAATTTCAAAGAACAATTTTTTTTTTTTTTTTTTTTGTGACACTGTTCAAAGCATGTTTTGTCTTTTTGGCACATGCATACACCCACACTACACGTTTTGTATACATCTTGTTCTATGAGGTTTCTTCCTTGTGCTACAAAATGTACACTGCCTGGATTTAAATTTCACTGGTATATGTCCAGCATTATATAATTTTTTTTTTCATCTGGCACATGAAATTTGTGGTTTTTTATGTTAATGGGGGAGGGGGGGGCTTGGTCTTTTTGGCTTTGTACGGATTGTTCGTTTCCCATTCATACTTATTTTATTCGTATTTCGTCCCAAAATATTCAGAAAAAATTTTTAATTTAAATAAAACTTTACGCGATTTCTATTTCTAATTATAGCAAAGCATATTTACATAAGTTTAAATTTAAGCCACAGGAAATAATTTATATAATTACAATACTAGCTTGGGGAGCAAGTGTGTTGAGGTCAGAGAAAGGTCTCTTGTAAAAGAAAGATCTTTTTACTGGGCAGAGTGCATGTATTTGTTTAGTAATAAAATAACTCTGTGGTTTTTAAAACCCTTTATCTATATCCGAGGTAAAAATAAACATTTCTATTTGAGAAGCAAGCAAACGCCATTGAGAAGCAAACACGCAGTGGTTTCAAGGCGCGACCACGAGCCTCTAGAGGATTGTAAGCATTGTGACACAATGCTCTAGTGGTGCAGTGGTCGTGCCCTGAAACCACATAGCAAATGCCATACATATAGAGGTTTTTTTTTTTATATATATGCAGTTTAATTACTGCAATTTTTTATTGCTTATGATAGAAATCATGATGTGTGATGACTAACTTTTGAAATTTAAAGTTTTTTATATTAATAAAAGAAAGTTATTTTGTCTCATCGAAAACGAATTTTAAAAGTCATCCCATCTGAAGTATTAATACCTAAAACATATATGATTCTACAGTCATTTTGTGTTATTTAGATGTAAAAGATCAGTAATCATTTCATTTTCATTAAAAAATTTCGGAAAAAAGAGGAGGAAAAAATTTGGAAAATGGTGGTTTTAGGGCGTGACCACCGCACATCAAAGGGTTAATCAGTTAATACAACATAAAGTCCGAGATCCAGACTTGTCGAGACTTTGTTGGGTAAAAATATATTTCAGGGTGCCCCTTGGCAAAAATTGGCGATTTTTTTTGGTGCTACTCCTGTTTACATCCAATGCCCTCCTGAGTAAAATGATGTCCAAAACATAATGCAATAAAACATAATTAAATGAAAA